CTTCCTTCCTTCCTTCAGGCCAGGTGCCCAGCAAGGGAGGAGGAGGAGGAGGAGGCAGATCAGGTTGGCCTGGGAAGGAGGGCGGCTGGGCTCTCTGGGCAAGGAGCCCATTGGAAGGAAGAGAGCCTTGGAAGGAAGGGGCCAGCAAGAGCCTCCCTCCATCCATAGGAACGGAACGGAATTACCTCCGAGGATGCCGAGGGCGAGGAACGGCGCATAGTTCCTTCCCAGGGCAGAGAGTGCGAGGCGAGGAACGGTGCGTCGTTCCTTCCCAATTGGGCTGGGCTTTCTGGACTTGGAGCTGGAGACATCCCAAATCCTCCTCTTGCAGAACTCCAAATAATCTGGTTGCAGACCTCTCTCAGGAAGCACAGCTCTGAAGATTTGCCTTCCCCCCCCACTACAATTCCCAGCATCCCCCAACCAGGATGGGCACCTGGCTTGGCATCCTCCTTTTCTAGGACAGTTCCTACATTTCAAGGTTCTGTCCAGGAGAGAATTCCCAATTGTCCTCCCTTTGGAGCGTGACTGAGAAGCATCCATTTCTATTGATGTCAGTGTTTTATAGCTTTTGTTTACATTTTTCTTACATTTTGGGGTGCCTTGTCCTCCTTGGCGGTGAGGACATCTGGTCACTCTGGGCTTGGGTCCCTAGCATCTGGATTGTCCATCCGATTCATCCCTCTTGCTTTAATGGCAAGACAAAAGATGCTGGCACAGAGAAAACTTCAATTTCCCCTTTTCCTGGTGCCTTCAGAGTAACTTTCCTTCAGAGTAACTTCTGCTCACAAACAACAAATGCAACCCAATGCATTTTTCTCTTTCCTTTGCACAGAGGATGCACGCCTGCCAGTTGATCAGCATGGTCTGCGGATCCTGGGTGCGAATCTCTTTGCTCCTTGGCTTTCTGGTAAGTTTGCTGGATTTGAATCATGTGGGAACAAAGGTTCTCCCATTGTGTATTTTAGCTCCGCAGCAGGTAAAGAAAGCGGGGTTCAAAGCTGAGAAGAGAAAATCACTATTGCCGAATTCCCTTTGCAGATTGGCACATTCTCACGGAACACGTTCACCTTTACGATTCCTGTGGAAAATCAAACTGCAAAAGGTTAGTGATCCAAAACCTGCACTTTTAATATGTTGAAATGCCAACACTTTTTGCTTGCTTGCTTGCTTGCCTTGCAAAATGACAGTAGTGAAGAACGCCAATGGCTTCATGTTGTTGTCGTTGTATGCCTTCAAGTCATTTCTGACTTCTTATGGCAACCCTAAGTCAAACTTATCCTGGGTTTTTTGTTCAGAGGAGTTTTTGCCATTGCCTTTCCCTGAGGCTGAGAGTGTGTGACTTGACCAAGGTTACCCACTGGGTTTCCGTGGCTGAGCAATGGATCGAACCCTGGTCTCCAGAGTCTCAAAACTGAAATCGCGACACCACGCTGGCTCCTACGGCTTCATAGCTTCTTTCTGTTCTTCCAGTTTTTGTTCTATCCTTGGGCTGCGGGTGCCAGGCTGGAGGCACACTTTGGGCCAAGATCCCATTTCAAACTGGCAGAGCATAAAGTTTTGCCAGCATAGTTACATGTTGCTCTGAGCACCAGAAAAGGGAGGGCAAAGATGGCCAGTGGCATGAGAGAGCTTGTGGCCATTTTGGGATGGAGGAGGCAGAGCTGTGCCTGGACACTGCTGCACAACTTGGCACTCAAAGACATTGCGTAAGGAAGTACTGGATACCTCTCGACACAACATCAGAAAATGTTGTTCCAATAACTTATGCCCCAATAAGGTTCTGGCCTAAAGAGCCCAGTGTTTTCCAGAAATCTTGGACTTCACTTCCCATCATCCCCAGCCTTCATATCCATACTGACTGGGGTTCCTTGCCACTTGTCATCTTCCTGGTCAACGAAGGGACAACAAACAAAAGATTTGGCTGAGGTGGTGGAATCTCATTTTGGACGGCACAAAAAGGCAGCAAAACGGTTAACTGTTTATTTTCTTGTTGTCCTTTTTGCAACAGAGTTTGTGACATTTTTTCTGGCTTTTGGAGCAAAATAACTAACTTGGCTCACTTTGGGTGCTATGCATCTTGGCTTGGATGGGCGGAGGATGCTGTTTGCTGCTCTGCCTCAGGCAGCAAAATGTTTGGGATGGTCCTGTATCAGATGCTTCCACACTTTCTTTCCTTCCCTTTTTTTTCCCTCCCAGGTTCTGACCCCGATCCTCTGATCATTGAGAGATTAGGAGACGTGTACGAATATGTCTCTTCCGCTCTGGACTGGTGGCAAGCGGACAGATATTGCCGGCAGCGTTTTGCTCAGCTGCCCTCAGAGACCTGGGCATCTCTTGGCCAAAAGCTGGACTCTCACCAAATCCAGGGTGCCATCTGGTTAAGCAATGAGGAGGTGTACCTGCAGAAGCCAAGGCACAGGCGTGAGTAATGAAGAGAGTGATCTGGGATGATGGGTGATCTTTCTACACTCTCTGGCAGTTAGTTCCTTGGAGTGGAGAGTTTCTTCTCATTGTCATTTTCATCATCCTCATCCTCCTCATCATCATCATCATCACATTTTTATTCCGCCCTTCTCTGGAGTCCATCAGGATCTTTTGATCATCGAATCTACTGTATATACTCGACTATAAGTTGACCTCACGTATAAGTCGATGGCAGGTTTCGGGGCCAAATTTATGGATTTTGATCTGACCTGTGGATAAGTTGAGGGCAAAACTTAGGGGCATGTAATGAGGATCTAAAGCAGGGGTAGGCAACCTAAGGCCCGGGGGCCGGATGCG